GGGGGGGGGGGGGGAGGTGCCATGAAGATGTATCACTATGAAATATCAAAATACTGAGAAAAGAAAGGTCTAAAAAAATTTCCAAATGGGAAAAAATGATCACCGGGAAGGCAAGGGGATTATAATGGCATTGGATTTCTCAACAGCAACACTGGGATCTAGAAGATTAGGAGGTAACATTTTCAAAATGCAGAGAGAAAATTATTTCCAATCTAGAAGTCTTCTATCCTTGGCCAAAATGTCAGTCAGACATGAAAGGAGATTGAAGCTGGACAAAGTCTCAAAGAATTCACCTCCCATGCACTCTTTCTCAGAAAGCTGCAGGACAAAAGTACCTTGGCAAAATTAAGGAATAAGGAAAATAATGAGAAAGAAATGAAGATCTGAGAACGGGGCTTCAAGACAAGAGAAGACAACCGTATTCCTGGGTGATGCACAGCTACAGACAGACTTGGAGAGCCGATGCACCAAAATGACAGAGAGCCAGAGGAAGCTGGAAAGGTATTTCCAAACGGGAAAAAATTTAAACTTATAAGGTACATGCTGAGTTTTAAATTATTGAGAGGAAATGTCTCACATTTTGAGGGAAGACAGAGAATAAAAGAGTGGTTTAAAAAAAAAGTGAGGCAGATATTAACTGCAGACAAAATACAAATTTCTACAGAAAATGAAATTAGAATCACAGCACACTATGTAGCTCACATGTCAATAGCTAGAGTAAAAAATATAAACGTATCCATATGGATGAACTAAAAGATAAGAATATAATACATTAAGAAGAGAAAGCCTATGTGGGTGAGTGTAGGTTGGAAGCTGGAAATATAAAGGAACTAAATGCTTGCCTTCCCTGATGTAAAGATGATAACATCTAAATTTGATTTCCAAATAGTATTTAAGATTGAAAGACCAAGAAATAGTAGTATAGGCACGTTATGTTGAATTATAGATGTAAGTTTTAGAAAAAAAAATAGTTAAGAGAGTTAAAAATAGGAGCTTAGGAGGGTCGGGACAAGGAACTACCTATTTTCAGGATATGCCTAGGGGCACTGCTTGTCTTTTTAAAGCATGTGTGCATGCGCACGTGCACGCACGCACACATACACAGCTTTGCAACAAAAAGCAACACATATTTAAACTGCAGAACCAGAGTACAGTTTTTTCTCCTCAGCTCCTCAGAGAACACGGAAAGGAGACAGGGAATTCACAGCCACCAAGAAGCCATCCTAAGGCCCTAGATCCATACTGTCAGGCTCTGTAGTTTTATTTCCAGAACCACCACGAGAAGGCTTTTTATGATCATTTTACAGACAAAGAACCTGAGGTTCAGAGTGGTTCCATGATGTGTTACAGCCATGCCAGAGCTGGGGGGAGGCTTCCTCCCGTGTTTCTCTGAGCCCACGATCGTGCCTGCTTTGCAGCAGAGCCTCTCGGAACAGGAAACGAGGGATACGATCACATCCCACCACACACGCATGAGGCCTCTTGGCACCTCTACAGATGTTCCCTTCCCGCCATATCCAGGAACTTCTCCTGGGGCCCCCATAACGCGTCTGTGTGCTTAGTCACTCAGTCATGTCCAACTGTGTGTGACCCCATGGACCATAGCCTGCCCGCCTCCTCTATCCATGGGATTTCCCAGGCAAGAATACTGCAGTGAGTTTCCATGTCTTCCTCCAGGCGATCTACCTGCCCCAGGGATCGAACCTGTGTCTTCTGCGTCTCCTTATTGCAGGCAGATTCTTTACCACTTAGCCACCAGGGAAGGTCCATTGCTTACCCAAGCACAAAACCTTCTACCTCTTCCTTCTCCAAGGACTCAACTCTTCAAACCACATCAAGTCATATGAGTTCCTTGTGGTTGCACCTGCTCGGCCATGTCCTTTCCACCAACAGGACCCTTGTTCACTCTCCTGGTCCTTCCTGCTCCAGTCACACACCCCTTAATTAATAAAGGAACGTGTATGATGTGCCAGGACTCATGGGGCACTGGGGATACTGCAGTGAACAAACAAGGCTCCTGCCCACATCCAGCTGAGCAGGTTGGGA